AGAGGGTGGGGGGGGGGGGGAGCGAAGATTTATATAAATACAAGTTGGTGTTCCACCCTGTACACACGTGCCCCGTCAAACTTGAGCAGCTCATTCACAGTCGTGAGGATTTAACAGTTTTACAGATGATATGTAATGAACAGGTAGGGATGAGATAGAAAACGGGAGTCATCCAACAGAAACGAAGGAAAGGAAAGACGAAAAGAAAGGAAAATGATAAAGAAAGGACAAGAAATGGGCAAACAGAAGAAAATAAATAGCTAATCTATTTGATTTTTAGACTAATATTAAAAAAATGAAAGTAGACTTATGCGATCACCATTCTGTGCGTCTGTGTGTTCCCCCTATCAACTTCTGAATGGCTGAAAAATTCGTCAAGAAAATTGGTATGTATGCCATGGCAACTGAGCCCATCTCAACGGCGTACTTCATAGATCCCTCCCGTCAGTCTGCGTGTCTGTATGTGTAATCCCCCTATCATTGCTAGGCAACGGCTCGGTATAAACGTTATAGTGGCAAAGAAGAAATATTCGGTACTTGTTCAATCACGCAAAAGTGCCACCAGGCGATTCCTTTTCCCAGAACTTCTTGTTACTTATTTATTGCTCATTTAATGACATCGTTAGCAGTTTAGATTAAACGGTTATTATGATTATATTTCTTTATGATTAAAACGTATCTACCAAACTGCACGGCGTTACATTCGAGAATACTGTAACCTTATTTATTTCCTGTTCACCTTAAAAAGGTCTCCTTTTTTCGTTCATTATCTTAAGAAACTGAGGTGGGCAGGGCATGTAGCACGAATGGTGGAGACAGCGAAGCATATCAGATATTGGTGGGCAAGCCAGAAGGAAAAAGACCACTGAGAAGACCAAGGCGTAGGTGGGTGGACAATATTAAAATAGATCTTAGAGAGATAAAATGGGATGGTATGGATTGGATTGATCTGGCTCAGGATAAGGACCAGTTTAGGGCTTTTGTTAACACGGTAACGAACCTTCGGGTTCCATAAAATGCTGGGAAATTCTTGAGTAGCTGCAGAATTGGTGGCTCCTCAAGAAGGTCTCAGCTCCACGAGGAAGTAAGCAAGTAAGCATATTAAGAAACAAAGTTTCTGATAACATTTTTTTATTGATTTCTTCGCGTGTGTTGAATACGACAGGCTGCCTTGTGTTCGACGGACCGGTAAAACAGCGGGAAGGGGGTTTCCCCAGTACCGATCCCTGTCTGTCTCACATTGTACAATGCAACCAATATTCTCCTCATTTTGTCATTGTTGGTATATTCTCCTGACCGGCTCTTAGGCTCAGCCAGCCTCCTATCCAGTGGGTACCGATGGATAAAGCGTTCGGGACGTGAAGCTAAACATCCACTTCCGTCCAGTGCCGAGGTGGAGAATATTGGAGCTATACTTCCACTCTCCTATACGTCTTCATGGCCTAGTGCTTAATTAATTAAGGACAGGGACAACTTACTTGTTTACCCATAATAACGGCTCTGTTTTGGGGTTTAATTTGATCAGCGTTCCGGGCTACAGATCTAGAGGTCCGGGTTCGATTACCGGCGCTACCAGATTTTTTCGGAGAAGTAGTGGGTCTGGAACGATGTCCACTCAGCCTCGTGATGATAATTGAGGAGCTATTGCTAAGAAATCGTGGCTCCGGTCTAGAAAACCGAAATTAACGGCCGTGGGGATTCGTTGCGCTGAGCACGTGGTTGACTCTATCCGCAAAAGTTGGCACTAACTTCGCCGAGAAGAGGCTGTCGCTCGGTCGGTATAGTTCGCTTGAGGACTGAAATCACGCAGTTTTTTTTTTGTCTCATCAGTAATCCTCATCCCATTGTGTATACTCGTATGTCTTAATACTCGAAGCTATCTAAAAATTCTTCTTATTCTTCCTCCTGTCAGTTCTCTCTCACAATTTCACATGTTTCGGCAGGAACAGGACCCGGGCCACCGGGGACTTGACGTCTAAGTTATGGCGCGGCCTTTATTATTGTTGTTTCGTCTTGTNCAGGCCGTGGATGCCCGTAGGGTTTTGAGACGTCGAGGCTCCCATATTTTCTTGACAGTCGGCTCACGGATGGCGGATGAGGTTGTCAGCCTTACGCGCCGGCCACTCTTACCCCCGCAGGAAAATTCCTGGTACTCATTTCTGTTAGTGGCTGAGTCGATCCCAGGTCCGTAGTGCGGCTGGAAGGATTAGGTGACTTGAAATATCTTAATTACTTCATCGGGAATCGAACCCCGACCTTCCGGCTTGTAGCGTAGTGCCTCAGCCAGTAAAGAAGAAAAATAATAACAAGGTGGCCCAGAAGAATGTATATCAAATCTCTGGTGGTGATAACTAACGATCCTTTGGAAGACACTTGAACTGCAGCAGCAGTTTACCCGACTGACCAAGACGTTAGCTTTACGCTCCAGCCCCCGTACCCATTGTCTAGGAGGCTGGGTGGACCCCGCAGTCAGTCTGGACACTGCGGAGAACAGGAATATTTCTCGCCTCTGCCAGGGAATTGAACCTCCCTCGGGCAGAACGTAGCAGACTGATCTATAAAGGTGAAGTTTTCCTGTGCTTAGCCAATTAAGCACTACGCCATAAAGGCGTATGGGGGAGTGGAGGCAACGAACCACATTTTCTTGACCTTGGCACTAGTTGGAGGTGAGCGGTCAGCTTCACGCTCCTGCCGCTTTACCCCGGGGAAAGATTCCTCGGTACCCTTTGGATAGGAGGTAGGGTGACGCCAGAACCGGTGTGGACGACTTGGAGAAGGGAAAATTCATGCCCACACTGGGACTCGAATTGCGACCCCTCGATCGTCCAGCCCGTAGGCAGATGCTATACCGACTGATCTGTCCCTGCTCTTGACGTATACTGATTGCAGAAATGGACAGAACTAAGTGTAATACAGGATGGCCCCAAAGTCAGTTAATTGATTTCTAAAATATAAGCAAAATTACGTCAGAAATTTCTTTATTACTTAATGAATTTACATTTTTTTTTCGAAATGAGATCCTTCATGTTCAGTGCATAACTCACAGCGCTGTGATACCCTTCTACAAATTGACAGACCTCCGGGCTCAAGTCCTCCCTTCACAGACTCCTGTAGAGAACGAACTACTGACCTCTGCCTTCTTTACAATATAATGGCACGGAACCACCTAGAAAACACAATTGTTCTGTTGTTGTAGTCCAACTGTTGCATTATTAAGAATCTGTTGCTTAGAAACGGGAACGCGTTTACCGAGCCGTTACCCTGGTACATCCCCTATCTCGCCGTCGTTGCACAGCAACGGCTCTACACGCTACAACATTAATGTAACACGATGAAGAGTACGTTTAGGCTCTGGATTTGTATGAGGATGATGCTCGGTTCGAATCAGGTGCGGGATATCGAATATCCTGACCGACGTCTTCGTTTTTTTTCCCCGAGTCCGGATTGTTACCTCTGTTAGGTCACGATCGTTTTCTTCGAAATCCACTGTAATTAAATCTGATATCCATCATCCGATGCTGTAGAGTCTCTATACAGGAAGCAGTTTTAAATAAACTAGAAAAAAGAGGAAGAAAAAAGAAAGAAAGAAAGAAAGAAAGAAAGAATAATTGCGATTTATAAAATTTCTTATGGCGAAAATTTGTTTATCGCGCTTTTCTTTCTCTTTTATCATAATGTTTTCCCAACACACCGTTCTCAGTCGTCCTCACCCTAGGGTCTGTCAGAGTGGCAGATACATAGCTACATGGAGCTGAGCCCTTCTTGAGAAGCCGCCAATTGTGCAGCTACTCAGTACCTTCCCCAGCATTTTATGGAACCTGAAGGTTCATTGCCGTGTTCACAAGAGCCTTCCACTGGTCCCTATCCTGAGCCAGATCAATCCAATCCATACTATCCCATCCTGTCTCTAAGATCTATTTTAATATTATCCATTCACTATGTCTTCATCTTCCTAATTCTCTCTTTCCTTCTGGTTTTCCCACCAATGTCCTATATGCATTCCTCTTCACCCCCATTCGTGCTACATACCCTGCACACCACATCCTTTTTGACTTGATAATTCTAATTATACTTGGAGAAGAGTACAAGTCATGAAGCTCATCATTATGCAGTTTTCTCCAACCTCCTCTCACTTCATCTCTCTTCGGTTCAAATATTCTCCTCAACACCCTGTTCTCAAACACCCTCAGTCTGTGTTCCTCCCTTAATGTCAGAGACCAAGTTTCAGACCCATAGAGAACCACAGGCAAAATTATAGCTTTGTATTTTCTAATTTTTATATTTTAGGACAACAGGCGAGAAGACAAAAGGTTCTGGAATGAATGGTAGCAACCAATATCCGAGTTCAATCTTCTCTTAATTTCCTCCTGAAGAACGTTTTGATATGTTACTGTCGTTCCAAAATATTTTCAAAGGATGTGTTAGCTGCCTCTATCAGAGTTTCTTATCTATGTACACAGCAGAAGACAGGAAAGAATTTTATGTTTCAACTAAAAATTCTTAGAAAAGACGCTGGAATATAACAAATTCCGGATCTAAGGTTAGTAAGCATTAATGAAATTTATATTAAAATCATAGGAAATGGTTAATAAATCAGGATATATGAGGCACTCGAGAATTTAAAATTTTCTTTTTCGGTGCAGATACGCCGCTGAAGATGGCGCCGGTGTGATTCAGCTCGGGGAGGACAAGAAGTATGGAGAGTTATCTTGGAGGTCAGAGAAGGACGCTGCAATGACCAAAAGTTCAACTTTCACACTACACAGACTGATGCAGGGATACCGTAAAGCAGGTAGTATATACATCAGAGAGTGCAGGAAAAGGATGGACTGTCTTGACGTTTGGGGATGAAGTATGTTCGTGAGGGGTAAAATTTTGGTAGGGTGAATCTCAGACGAATCTTTTTTCTCGAGGCAAAAGACTAGACACCCTAACATGTAGTTCACGGCAGAACATTGACCTTTTCAAGTCCTCTTGGAGCATCGGAAGAGGATGTTGTGTCAGATAAAAAAGTGATGAACAAATAGCTCCTGTGTGTGTGTGCTTGTGTGTGCGTGTGTATGGTGGTTTAAAGCAGTTCCCATCTCCACAGACTTTTTTCTCTTCTCGTTGTCCAATAATTCCCACACCCCTTTTTTAAATTCTGAAGAAGAAGATATCGATCTTTCATTGTGTAAGATGAATTTGGTAAAAATATTAATTCCAGAAGGAGAAGAAAGAGAATGAGCCTAGGAAGACCGCAAATTTATAACAGGATGGATTGTACCCCAGGACGTAAATAAACTCATCTAATTTTACTTACTCATGGAGCTGAGCCTCTACCCAGAATTTTATGGTACCCGAAGGTTCATTACCTTGTTCACAAAAGTCCTCCACTGGTCTTTATCCTGAGCAAGATCAATCCAGTTCATACCATCACATCCTATCTCTGTAAGATCCATTTTACTATTGTGCACCCACCTACGCCTTCGTCTTCCCAATGGTCTCTTTCCTTCTCGCTTTCCAGCCAATATCCTATATTTCATTATTTATTAGTTCTATTTATGTTTACGACACATACATGATTGAAAGTTCGAGGTAATATGTAGAAATGCAATATGATTAGTTAGCATCATACATGTGCATTTCTCTCTTCAGTAGATACAGGCAGATGATGTGTAAGAAATGCAATAATGTGTTTCTCTCTAAGCCAATGAGACCAATGAGGAATGAGAAATTGAAAAGAACACATTTCGATAAGATTATTCTAATGAATACGTATAGACCTATTGTCATGTTTTTAGTGTACGACTATAGATGTTTTGGATTGGTAATCGGATTTATTATACCCTTGGATGCAGCGGGCGATTAACACTTTACAATACACTGTTACACACACATACTAGTGTTCACAGTCACGTCTTCAATGCTGTTGCTTGGTAGCGGCTTCCAACTGCGGATGTTCCCCACCCTCTGGATTCCCGAAAGGTCCCCAGCCTCAGCTACCAGCTTCTCAGAGCAACAGCTTACAACGACTGAACCCCAGTATTTCTCTCACTAACACACCAACCAACTGAACTAACTCCTCACTTATCCTGTTTAAAACTTATAGGCACGGGCAACACAGAAAACACCGTTCCTCTGTTGCAGTGCAATTGTTGCCTCGGAAACATGCTTGTTTATGAAGCTATTACTCAGTAACGGCTGTCGTATAGTTGGTTATTTTGCGGTCGTTGCCTAGTAACTGGTCTACATGCCACAATATGCTAATACTGAAATTTTCAGAACTATTACAGAAGGGAATTAAACAAGAAAGGAAAAGGGAGAATTTAAATTCTTACAGACGAAGTTAAAAACTTGATAGCAGAGGAAGAAGAGTAAAGGTCACAATTGTTTTGCCATGTAAAAGGAATGAACAGAACAAGGATTTGAAGGAAATGGACGACCGGAACAAAATGTTTCGGCAAGATATTGGAATGAAAGGACAGAAATACTAAGAAATGGAAAACGAAGTTTATCTAAATATAAAAGTGACTGCATGATTTTCATCAAAAGAACCATATAACACGGAAACAATGATGGAAGGGAGAGAGAAGAAGAAGAAGAAGAAGAAGAAGAAGAAGGCGCGAATACTCGTACCCTAAACACTACAAGTTGTATCAGGAACGCTATCAATTAGATTCTAAAGGGTTCTGACGAAGGTGGATGACACAGAATTACTGGGTTCTCGAGCTTCTTCCATCGTCGGAATTCTAGGAAATAGAAAACACGACGTTTCGGAAACTGGATGTTTCCGTCTTCAGATGAGGAAGTTATGCCAATTAGAAAGAGCTACTCTCAATCAGTCTTTCTAAGTGAACCCAGTAATTCTGTGAGGATCGTTACAATTTCTCTAAGTCTATGTACTCGTAACCATGAAAAGTTGTCCCCTTGTCCCCACGGCATGGCGCGTCTTCAGGCTGCGAATAGAACAAAGAGCAAAATAAGCACTCACGGACAGCGACAATGGGTGGTCCTCCAATTTTGGGGTAGGGCAGATATCTAGCAGTCCATTGGTATAAAAATACTGCATGGTATGAAATGTTACTCAACGCCTCAGACTTAGAGCGGTAAAAGTAACGGTTATAAAGTGGATTAAACTGGCACAGGACGGGATAAATGGAAGGTTACTTGTAAAAAAAATAATGAATCCACAGTTTCTATTAGGAGGAGCGACTGTCAGCTTCTCAAGGATATTTGAGTAATTTTTTACAAGAGCACAGGCTTAAGAAGAGATTTTATCTTCAGCGATGTGACCCTGTGAAGTCTGATAGAAGTTTACCGACGTTTCGGAGGAATATACTGTCTATAATTTCTGGATCGAAATACGTATGAGGCAAGCAGAACCGCTTTCGAAGAGGCGGTATTCAATGTTCACTGCGGCCAGAACTTTATATATATATATATATATATATATAGCAACCGTGGTGAGTTCTATTTTCTGGGATTGAACGCTATTTAGTCTGTTGAAAGTCAATCGATGTTTCAGAGGAATATGCCTGCTTGTCACCTGCTCTTTCAGTCCTCTTTCTGGTGGCTTATTATTAAACCCTGAAGATGGGGTGATATATCACTCCGAAACGTATCTTGAATTTCAGCGTACTGCACGGCGTTATATGACAGTGGACAGCATTCTTCATAACCACCGCTGTGAGATCATCAAACCCTACATCACAACTACGTGTTGTGATTGGTAGTTATCACCGTTTCGAAGGAACATGTTGCCTCCATCTTCAGGATAAGAGTGTAACGCAAATGAACACCACTGCAATGAGAACGTCAGATTCTAACAACGTGGCTATTAGAAGATTACAATCTCCTCGCCTCATTGTTGTCGGGAGCCTGTGCATGGGTCCAAGGCGTATGTTTGGGTAGGCTATTGACCCGGCGGTTGGAAGTACAGCCTCCTGGAAAAGTGGAAGGGGCATTTCTTGTTTGTGTTAGGGTTAGCTCACGAGTTGCATGGCGGTTCCTCATATAACTCGTGACAAGTGACGAGTTCTGTGATGTGGCACCACACGGTCTGATAGTATCGTCCTCTGTGTACGGTTTCCTTGCTTTTATGGAATACGCTTCGATCCTGATGATGTAAGCGGTATATCCCACAGAAACATCGGTCGGTAAATCTCTAACAGAGTACACAGCTTCACTCCTAAGAATACAGAACAATATTCTTAGTCACAGTTATAATTGGGGATCATCAGTGTGGGTTTCGACTAACAGATCAATTACAGATCAGATCTTTTGCATTCATCAGATATTGGAGAAAAAATGGGAGTACAATGAGACAGTACATCAGCTATTCATAGACTTCAAGAAAGCGTATGATTCAGTTAAGAGGGAAGTATTGTACAGTATTCTGATAGAGTTTGGGATACCCATGAAACTAGTTAGGTTGATTAAAATGTGTTTAAACGAAACGTATAGTAAAGTCCGTGTAGTTAAACATTGGTCTGATAGATTTCTTATCCAGGATGGTATAAAACAAGGAGATGCTTTATCGCCACTCCTTTTCAACTTTGCTTTAGAATATGCCATTAGGAAGGTTCAAGGAAACCAGGTGGGACTGAAATTAAACGGGACACATCAGCTGTTGGCCTATGCCGATGATGTGAATCTACTGGGTGATAATGTAGATACCATAAAGAAAAACACACAAACTTTAATTGACGCAAGTAAAGAGGTTGGTCTAGAAGTAAACACAGAGAAAATTAAGTATATGTTACTGTCTCGTCACCAAAATGCAGGACAAGATCATGACATAAAGATATGAAACAGATGTTTTGAAAATGTGGCACAATTAAGATATTTTGGAACAAGGATAACAGATCGAAACCTGATTCAGGAGGAAATTAAGAGGAGATTGAACTCGGGTAATGCTTGCTACCATTCAGTGCAGAACCTTTTGTCTTCTCGTCTGTTGTCCAAAAACATAAAAATTAGAATATACAAAACTATAATTTTGCCTGTGGTTCTGTATGGGTGTGAAACTTCGTCTTTGACATTAAGGGAGGAACATAGACTGAGGCTGTAGAGAATATTTGGACCGAAGAGAGATGAAGTGACAGGAGGTTGGAGAAAACTGCATAATGAGGAGCTTCATAACTTGTACTCTTCTCCCAGTGTAATTAGAATGATCANCTGCTTTATCGTGTCTCACGGTGTTGTCGCTTGCAGATTTACTTATACTTTTTCTTCAACCCTGAAGATGGGGGCGATACGTTCCTCCGAAACGTCGGTTAACACCACATATACACGGTGCCAAATCCCAGAAGACTGCATTCTTCATAGTCACCGCCGTGAAAGCCTCAAATCTTACAATATTAGAATGGATCATAGAGAGATAGGATGGGATGTTATGGGTTGGATTGAGCTGGCTCAGGACAGAGATCAGTGAAGGGCTCTTGTGAATACGGTAATGAACCTTCGGGTTCCATAAAATGCTGGGAAATTCTTGAGTAGCTGCAGAATTGGCAGCTCCTCCAGAAGGGCCATAGCTCAAGCGGTTAGTCGCTGGCTTTCCATCGCGATTGCCCGGGTTCGATCCCGGGTCTGGTCAAGTGGGATTTGTGGTGGACAAAGTGGCACTTGGGCAGGTTTTCTCCGAATTCTTCGGTTTCCCCTGCCAATCTTCATTCCACCAATTGCTCCACAGTCACCCTCACCAATCATCTGGGGCTGGTACAATAGGCCAGAATTGGCCGCAGTACAAGACCCCACTAGGAATAAAAAAAAAGTAAGTAAGTAACAGTCATAAGATAAAGTCTTACGCAA